TTTACCATGTGTAGGGGCATCCAAATGTGTAAGGCTATTAGAAACCAAAAAAATAAAGGAATGGGATAGCTATAATTGGATAAATTCGGCATATGAAAACACCAAAATCAATGATTTTTTTCAGTGGCTGTGTGACCTTGTGTCTGACACATTCATATGCAAATGACTAATCTGTGAAACAAACAGGGGCGGAGACAAACCACTCGAATGTTTGGAAACACTCATTGTGTGTCAGATAGCTACTGATAACACATCCTAACATTGCTTTGTCTTGAGTTTATCTTTGAAACTTATAGGCACACAGATTAAACCTGTATTGTTGATTTTGGAAAACACTACAGTTTTTGAACTATTATAAATCATTATTACTTCTGCTATTGGAAGTTATTATCATGCTGAACCGGTATTCTAGTAGCTATATTGGTATTTCCATATTTGTTTCTATAGTTTACTTTAGAACCAACTCAGCAACAGCAGTTATTCAGTAAAAATACATCTAATTGTATACTGCTAAATTGGTACATGCATTTGACCTCCTACTTTATTTTTTAGGAGAAGTACCAAGTCACCAAGATATTGGAAACAGCTGGATTGATGCCCTTAGAGGAAGGTGCCCCGATGATAACTAGTGCAACGGCACATCTCGTAGGTGGTTACAGTATGCACCAGATTGGTTTGACTGGCGCTGGCGTCCCTGCAATCCATCCATATGAGAAACGCAGAGAAAGTCTATCATTCTCTAGTCCTACAAAGTCTAGTAGTATTGGTATTGACCGTGACATTGCCAGGTACGATACCCAGGGTAATATGCATTTTAAAGTGACTGATGATGTCAGTATACCCACGGTTACTAAAAAAGACGGTTAGGAAACGAATCATGTTCTTTTCATTGGATGCGTGTCGCGGGTAAACATTTGAAACAAAAGACGTACTAATCTGTGATAAATCATTAACATAAAATGTAGACAGGAAATCACGCAAATATGACGTCATTTTTCGCAGAGTTTATTGCAATCAACAACTGCACGCCATTTTATTGTGTCTCTGTCGATACTTTCAGTAATACTAAAGTGTAAGTTGTTCCAGTGAATCATGACAAAACCTGTCGCTCGGTTTAAACTCAAAACAAATTTGCCTGTCGTGGCATTTTCATTTCTAAATAACAAGATCGACAGAAAACTGAAATAAAAAAAACAACAAAACATGATCAGAAAAAAAGACGTCAAAGAAACCATACAAGTGTTTATATTTCAGCCAGGCGAAAGTTTTAATGAGGAGCCATGATACCACGTACATTTTGTTGGAAATAAACAAAATATGCGATAAGATAACTGAAATGACCCGCCCATGTTCTACAAAATGCATGTAAGCAGACCAAATATGCAACAACAGGCAGTTCCAATGAAATTAAGAACGGTTAAAAAGGGTTCGAAAAATTGATTTGGCGAAGAGACTGCTAGAAAGTTGTACCGACAGTTGAATGTGTTCAAAAATTGTAGCGTTGACTAAAACCACATTTAACGGCACGCTGAATATTGCAACATGTAAAATTTTCCCAAAAACTGAAACAAGGACAGACAGAACAATTAAACAGGCATTTTATGAAACTGGCGGAAATGTGAATACATTT